AATATTTACAGATTAATACAAACATAAGGTTATGTCCTGGTAATGCAAACAAATCCACATTATCTGCAAAAAGCAGAGATAAGACATTGTTGTTCCCAAACCAGACACCATCCACTCCATAATAGCATCTGGACATTCTGTTCATGAAACAACAGAAATATGACTGGATACAAAGGACAGCCCCGGTGCAGTGCAGTCCTTCCTGCAACGGAAACAAGTTGAACATTGTGGTGAGAACGCAGACACAGCAGACAGTTCTTGTTTTGGTTGTACATGAACTGAATGGCTTATAAAAGTGAATCCAGCACCCCACACTCAGGCAACACTGCCCACAAAATCCATAAAGGCACATATTGGCTCAGTGATTAGCACTGTTGCCTCACAGCAAGAAGGTCCTGGGTTCAATCCCCGGTTGGTCCTGGGGTCTTTCTGTGTGGAGTTTGCATGTTCTTTTCATGCTTGCGTGGGTTTTCTCCGGGTACTCCGGTTTCCTCCGACAGAATAAAAGCATGCATATTAGGCTGCCTTCAGGCCCAGGCCTCCCTTGCAAAAGAGATCAGTGACCTCAATGGGATTTGCCAGGTTAAATAAATGTTAATAAAATAAATAAATAAATAAATAAATAATAATATTAGTAAGCCTTCTCCAGGTCCACATAACACACACAGACTAGACATTTAACTTCTAAATAACCTGGTGATAGATTTTATTAACATAAGTTTGCAGAATGATGAAGACACAGACTCAAAAGGTATAAAGATATGAGTTTATTTACGATGGACTCATATATATCTTTGCTGTAAGGAAAAGGGAAAGAAGATGAGTATGGGGAGTTTCCAAGGTACTTGATGCCTGGAAGTTGTTTATTTTTAATAGTCATACTTTTGGTTGTTTGTAGGTAGCATTGGAGACAGGGGAGAAACGAGGTCCTAGGGTTTCTACCTTAAAATTTATCTGAATGATTGAGCATACTTACTCTTTTTCAGGAACAGGATGATAACAAGGCAAATTCACGAGGAGTGAGGAGGTTTCAGGAGACACAGAGGAGCAGGACTTGAAGAACACAAGAACGGTTCAAAAGGTTAGTTACAAATTCACAAGAGACAGTTTCAGCTGTCGCTTAAGTTACCAAAGTTTTCAAAATGTTCCAGCGTCGGGTGATTGACCACCAGGAGTTTAAGTACCCTGCAAAAACGTTGTCAGGATCAGGTGCAGGAGTGGAAAGTTGGATGATTGAAATGATTATCAGCTGTGGGGAAAGTGAGCATGACTGCAAACCTAGGAATCCTACACTATGATCTTCTGTTCACACAACAGGTCCATTCATTTCTGACCAGGTCCCTGTACACTTTGCAAAATCAGACTGTTTGTTGTTGATAGTGACAACAAATATGCAGAATTAATTCACCAAAAGTAATTTACCCATAGCATTTCAAAATTCAACTTCTGGAATCTAAATCAAACTGCTGTAAAATCATCTGCGTGGTTTTCTTTACTTCTGAATGCTCCTAATCTTTTAATGACAAAAAACAATCAAAGCAACAACATGAATGTGCTTTACTCAGCCATTTCAAACTCAACAGGGGCTCGTGACTTTAACTAACTCAATCAAGAGTGTCTTGATTTAATTAAACCTTGCAAGCAATATCACGGACCACAGCAGTTGGACTGCTGCTGTGCTAGGACTTAAACTCTGAGGAAAAAAAAACATCTTTATCTTGAATAGGTATTTAAAAAGTGTCTTCTTTTGAATTAGATCATCTTTACCTGTTAGCAATAGGAAATGATAAAAAAAAGTAAATTGGAAGAGATCTAACTTATTTTCCAAATGACCACAGCAATATAGCAACGTTTAGTTCACTGACCACATTTTTTGTACAGTTTTTTTTATGCCTTTTTAGTTTTCATATCTTTTATAGGTTTTCCAGCATCCCTTTTATTAAACTTGTGGACTTCCATCTTTATTTCTGAAGAACTTTTATGGATATGGACCATTATTGACTGAATCATTTGAACCAGTTCAGTAATGTGAAAAATGATATCTTCAGTATTTCAAGTACAAGTAGGTTTATTGTCGTTCTCACCACAAGTGGTACTTGAGGTGGAACAAAATTATGTACTCAGGGTCCCAGTTACACCCAAAAATAACAAAACATAAAGTGTAAAAAGAAACATTATATAAGGATCTAAGATATGCGCCAAACCAACGTCAAACGGTACGCTAAAAGATCCAAGACATACGCCAAACACCAGCAATGCAAAACAACACGGCATAACAACAGCAGCTAGTAACAACAGCAGCCAGTAACAACAGCAGCCAGTAACAACAGCAGCCCGAATTCCATGTTAAAGGTTCATTCAACTCTGACAAGGTCCCTGTGTTACTCACTGAGTGTTAGCACTCACTGAGGAACAACCAAAGTCAGACATTACTTAAATAAAAACTATCTGTATCTGTTTTGAGAGAAAAACGAGGCATTAGTATGTGGAATTTGGACAAAGATGCTAAACAGCTTTGGTCCTTGTGAACTAAACAAGTGTTTTAATCATTTGAATATGCCACTTTTTTAAATGTCATTGTCTGTGTCACAGGTGTTTGTTACTAGTCCTTCCTTGACAGAGATGGATAGTTTAAAAGTTGATTCTTAGGTCAGGTTGGCTGACCTGAGACTGTCAGCTGTGGACTGCAGCATCAGCCTCTTTTTGATGGTGATGTTCCAAACTATTTTTCAGTTTATTTTAGAGATATAATGAAACTTTCATTCTTTGTAGAAAACATTGCAAAGGCCAGACGGACGAACGGACAGACAGACAGTGTTGTGTTAGCCATGTGATAAGACAACTGATCTGTCCAGTTTGCATGGTTGCATCACACCTCTTGGTTTGCTGGTATTAGTTCCCCTGCAACTCTGACCAGGATCAGGCAGGCACAGAAAACAAATGAGTGGTTAAAAAGGTTTAAGCAAATGAACAATCAAATTCCACTTTCTTGCCCATCCTTAAGATAGCAAGTTTAAATAATTTCAGCAGTAATACATATCGTATTAACAAAAGTACCAAGAGTGCACCTTGATCAGCATTCTCAGTAACTTCAAATCAGTTCATAGTTATCTTTCTTCTCCATGGACTTTTCTTCTGGCACATTAATGGATAGCACTTCCAAATAAAAGGCCGCAATATTAGTTATTTCTATAATTAGCAGTTTAAGCCCCTCACTCACAAACATGGTTGTTTGTACAGATTTGCCTTCGTATTACAACAAATCGACACAAGGGTTGGAAAACAGCCTTAGCAGACGACATTTTCTTTGCATAACAAAACACCACTAAACAAATGATTTAAAGCCCTTGAAGCAAAGGAGCTCACCCTTTGTTGAACAGTCACAGTGGAAGTCAGCCATCACCTAGTCTGCTGGCTTTGTTCCAGAGAACGAGGAAAGAAGGGATAGGCAGGATGGGTGGCAGATGGGCCTGGGGGTCAGACACAGTACAGCAGCCGTGTGCTTCACTAAATGTCACAAGTATTGTGCAGATTCATAGGACAATTTATGTTGAAATGGTGTGTTCTGGCAATGGCACTGAATAAACCTCATCATCGTCACTCTGAAAATATTTTAAAAGGAGACAACCTGTTAAAAAAAACACATTAAAACCAGTTTGTTTGTAACCAATTCTAACTAATTACTGTAAAACTATATGAGTGTGGAGCCATTTCATTAAAAATAACTTAGTAGAAAGAAACATCTGAGCTATCCTGTGTCACACCAAGTTTAAAACTAATGAGTAAAGTTTCAACATGTATTTTTTCTTGTTAAAATGTGACAGTTTAGGAGAGGAAATTTAAAGCCATGAGTGATTTACTACAGTGTTGCAGAAACTCTTACAGTAACATAGTAAAATTTAGATTGTTTTAAAATAATGACATCCCAATAGGAAGTATAGCTAGACATGTTGTAAATATGTCATTGTTTTTAATGAGGTCACTCAAATGTCTAAGAATCTGATCAGTTTCACACACAATAATTTGTTTATAAAATCTATCCGACCATTATCTTTTACCCGCTTCTTCCATTTTGGGTCACGGGGGTCACCGGTGCCTATGTCCAGCAATCACTGTGCGAGGGGCAGGGTACACTCTGGACGGGTCGCAAGTCCATCACAGGGACACAGAGACAAACGAGACAAACAACCATTCCCTCTCTCACTCAAATCTAGGGACAATTTAGAGTTACCAATCAGTCTAACATGCATGTTTTTGGTCTGTGGGAGGAAACTGGAGTACCTGGAGAAAACCCACGCATG